TGCCATTCCGCCATCCGAGCGTGGCAACTACTGGTAAAAACCCCTTAGGGGGAGGATTATCTTCAACAGTGCACAGTTAAAGCTGATATGATGATGAACATTTTTGGTTTCGAGTTTTAGATGTATCGAAAATGCATTTTATAAAATTTACTTTTTCCCACGCACAACCACTCTTTGGAATCAACTTCCAGCAGCAGTATTTCCGAACCGATACGATAACATAACCTTCCAGAAAAGAGTATATTCCTTTTTAAAAGGCCGGCAGCACACCTGCAATGCCGTTCATGTTGTGGGTGACTATGGGCGGCGGTAGTCACTTACCATCAGGTGAGCCGTATGTTCGTTTGCCCCCTGTATTGTAAAAAAAAATGCTTCTATATTTTGGGGACATCAGTTTTTTGAGGAATCAGTTCTCTTATAGTTAGACAGAGGTCACACTTGTTAAAAATCTAATCTAATAAAACTAAATTCTAAAATCTTTAGTACTTACTGTTTTTGTCAATCTGATCATTTTATTTATATAAGAACTCCGAATAGACATTTCTCCAGAGTCAATTACACTCTATTGAACTTAATTCAAAGCCAAAAATTAATATGCAAAGTACATGCATTTGCTGCATCTGTTTAAATTCATTACTGTGGTGTATCAGATATAGATAATGTAAGTTGCATAGATCACTTTAAAACAGAAGTAGATATTGGAATTAAAAGGTAAGCCATAAACTATCGAGCAATCGATATTTAGGTCGAATCTGTTGAGCCTACTTGAAATATTTTAATACGTACTGAATGGATTCATAAGTATGTGAGCAGTTAAATGTTTTACACTTGATTTTTACACTTTTTTGTTTTACACTAGGTTTTACATTGATTGAAATAGTAGCATGTGTACTTTTCCATATCAAATTGTGCGTGTATGCTACCTTTCCTAACGATTGGTTGAGCCGTTAAGGTGCTAGAAGGTAACAAACAATCTCACTTTCACATTTATAATATTTGTAAGGACTTGTAACTGCGTGTAGAGAATATAGAGATAGTGGGTTCAAGTTTCAAAGAAAAACTAACCGTATTATGTTTTTTTTCCAAATAATTATTATAATTAGGCAAAGGTCCAGAATACTAAGTCATGAAAATTAGTACCCAATACGTTCTGTTATGAGCCTTACGTCTATAATCACAAAGATCTTTATCTACTACTGGTGGTAGTAAATACATTAATCAATATGTTAATAATATTATCATTTTAAATTGTCCTCATGAGCATCGATTATATTATTAACTGCGTGGAACACAATCTTGATCATGGCCGTTCGGTATATTATGATGTGGTACGTAGTATCTTATAGAATGCCTTAGAATAGGCAATTTGCCGTCTCAGTGGCATCAAACTGGCGTGAGTAGATAGGCCTGAAATGTGTATCAATTCACCGGTATTGGTATCGATATTGTTCCTAAATAATATCAAAGAAAAAGTATTACTAGTATGCGTTTATTAAACTTGTGAACCTTAATTTTAGTTTTATTTATACTTTTTAGTTGAGTTAGGATATAATTGATGGCTCAAGGCGTCTTGTACACAAAATGTGCCTTAAATGTTGAGTAGTAATGAACTCCAACGTTTTGAATAATAAAACAAGGAAAGGAATTTTTGTATGCGTTTAACAAAAAAGTTTTAAAAAGTATGATATTTGTAGAAAATATCCGAACATTAAACAATACTTTTTAAATAAAATTATGTAATACTAAGTTAAACTAACATTAAATAGTACTAATACGTCTTTCCAAAAAAAAAAAAATATGCTCACTTTTTACTTTATCTGAGCAGTAAGTACTTTATATTATTCTCAATTTCGTGTATAATATAGTATATGTCATATATGTGTAAGTATGTTTGTTATTTATATATATCTATACGTTTTTATATGTAATTTTAATATGTATGTATATCAATAATTACTAGTACTTATACCTATCAATAATTCGAGTATTCTGACAATTTCCTATGGTTGACTGGGAGAGAATGCTTTTAGCATTAAGCCCGCCATGTACACATATGTGTACTAATGAATAAATAAATACTTACATATTATTTGTATTTAAATACAAATCAATAACTCGTTTTTAAGCGACGTATAAGTTTTTTCATATTTCTAAATAGTTTACGAGAATTCATCGTGTCCAGTTTTGAGTGTCTTATTCTAAGATTGTGTCCGACACTCACGTTTCAATTACACCGCTAAAGATGACAAAACAAAAAATACGATTCGTCGAATATAGTTTCAGTGGAATATTAACATGATGTCCGTTTTGCCTACTGTAAAGTAGGTATCTATATTTTTTTAAATTATATTTAAATTTTTATCCTTTTGGTTTAACACTTAATTCTTACTAATATTATAAATGTGAAAATTAGTTAGCTACCTTATAGCGTCTTAATAGCTTAATCAATCACTATGAATTTGGGTATATTATACGTATTATATAAGATGGAAAAGTGTATAGACTATACTTTTTATCTCAGTAAACATGTCCCGATCACGCGAACGAAGTCACGAGTAAAAGCTAGTTAGTTTATAAGGCACAAAACCGAAGTTTTGTAGACAGGTTAGATTTATAACAAAAATCAGTAAAATAATAAATTTTTTATTGAGAAGCAATGAAAAAGAAAAAAGTAAAATGATTGTATTATATAACAAATTCTGATTCAGTAGTTTCAATTACATTGGTATTGGATTCCTAGACCTTCTGATTTTGAGTCTCTTAAAAATTGATTTTTATATATTTACGATTTTAAAAAAGGCGGAGGCTGTTCTTTTTTTTTAATTTCATTATATCTCCGTCATTTATAAATCGATTTGGAAAGTTCTTTCTGAAATGATACAATTTTAGATTAGTGTTTTAGAAATATAACTAAAATTGGTTTCATCATTTCAGCCATTATTCGTCCTCTGCTGGACATAAACCTCCCCCATAGATTGCCATAAAGAACGATCCCAAGTCACCTGCATCCACTGAGTCCCTGTTTAGTAGTTTTAAAATAAAATAACAGGTTTTGCCATTATTGCAGTCGGTATTTTTTTGTTTTATGGTATGAAATATGTTATTAAACAATTTCTATTTTTTATAAATATAAAAGTTTTACGAAAAAGCAAATTCGTAGTGAACAAACAGGAAGAAAATTTCTTGGTAATATCTAAGGAGGCATAAAGTTAAATATTAGTTTTACTGACAGGAACGGTTAAATTTTAACTTAAAAGGTAATAGTGTCTAGTTAACAAGCTACAAATTATGGCTTTAAACACAGGCAACGTAATCGATTTTAATAATAAAATATTCCAGCAAATTGATTGCTGTTTATGATTATAGTTATGAATAATTACAGGAAATCAGTTATTATGAATACATATTTACACAGCAATTTTTCTTGTCAATTTTTTCTCTCTTTTTTAACACTTTATTGTTTGTATAACTTAATTATTAAAAGAAGTGCATTAATATTCACTGTAGCGGTATTTTTAATTACTTGTGAACTCATTATTATGAAATAGGTTGACTGGAACAAATTCCTTCAAGAGATAAGTCCGCCTGTGTACATTTTTGTTATAACAATATCTATACTATAAATGAATGTACACAAGTATATAAATACATAAATGAATGAATAGATAAATAAATAAATAATTTATAGTCCCCAAGATACAGGTCTGGCCTAGTTTGGGGACTGATGGTAATGCAGATATTTCCTCGTTGAATATAAATTGTAAAAATTGTAATTGTACCTTTATTTTATTTATGATTAAACTCGTGCACCGATTGATTTTTGTATGTTATGGTAATTATCAGGTTTTTTTTTTCATTGGTAACACAATAGTCGTTTAAAAGGAAATAAATAACAAATTGGAAGGATTTTATATTAAAAAGTTGGTTTAGGAATGGCGAAGATTTACACGCTACACACTTAATGGGTGGCACAGTATATTCTGTAATATCTAAATGTCTAATGTCGTTTATGTTCATAGGCAATTATGATTAATGTTTTTATAAGAGGGCTTACAGCCCTCTAGGGCTTATAAAACATTTACTATAGTTGTAAAGCCACGCCATTAATTCAAGTTCTTTTATAAGTTATTTAATGTACTAATTGTATTATTTTGTCTGTACGAATTTATGTATGAAATGCGAAGAATGTCTCCACATCTCACCAATCGAGTAAGAGCTCCTAAAAAAAATATCACCTATATAATGGATGAAAAAGGTAAAACTCTAGCCTATAGAGATTTTTACTTAATGTTTACATTATCATATTTTCAACATGCCTCCGATCAACTGTTTATAAATAAATAAATAAAATAATAAATATATACGGACAAATCACACAGATTGAGCTAGCCCCAAAGTAAGTTCGAGACTTGTGTTATGGGATGCTAACTCAACGATACTATATTTATAATAGATACATATATAGATAAACATCCAAGACCTAGGACAATCAGGAAAAGATCGTTTTCCATCATGACCTGGCCGGGGATCGAACCCAGGGCCTCCACGTCGCAGGCAGGCGTGTTGACCGCTGCGCCACGGAGGACGACATTAGAAATATTCCTTTCCATCCAGAGGTTGTCTGAAGAAATCGTTTTCAGCGATAAGGCGACCCATTGTTTTCTGAGTGTGATCATTTCTTGTAATTGTTTGTATTTAGAATAGGGTTACGACTATAATCTTTTGGAAGAAACAATAAAGAGTAGCTATCTATCTAGTATACATAACCAGCTATCGTTCCGGCTTCGCATAGATAGATAGAAAGATATATTAGTATTTTATTTTAGTTTTTATACGGAGTTTTATGGTTCAGAGTATTCGTAAAACTGTTGTCCAGTACGCCACGGCCTTTGAGTATAACGAAGGCGACCTAGAAAATCTTGTCACTAGAGGGCGACACCCTACATCGACTAATAGTAGTAGTAATGTTCTAACATTAAACATTTACCTCTTTGTTACAGGTTAACAGTGAAGTATGATGTGGTATATGTACAAAGTGGTAGCGCTGGTGTTGCTCTGCGCGCTAAGTAAAGGCGAGCTGCCCGAGGACGACTTCAGGATAATAAACAGCCAAGGTAGCATTTTTCTACCATTTATAGTCCATAAATGCAATTGTTTTATTCTTAAAAATACAATACACGCTCTCGCGACTGACGGAAATATCAAAGGCGTACTTATATTTTTACGATTTTGTATACTTTTATTATATGTTTTGAGACGCGACGTTTATGATTTAATGAGTAAGACAGAGGTATTTTAATATTTTCCGTAATTTTTGTAAAAATATACTCCCAAGTTTGAATCCCAGGCTAGACAGACGGGGATCGTTCAAGTCGTTTGCATGTTTATTTCTTTACCATTCATATTATTTTTCAGTTGTGCTTGCATGCTTGTGAAATTACAGGGTACAGAACTACTTCCTAGTCTTAAACCTTTTCAATCGTTCAGACGTGATTTAGTAACAAATATATAAGTATCCAAAAAGTTTCTTTGCAATATTAGTAAGATGTCTAAGAAATATATTTACATGTATAGGAGAAGAAGCTATATTACAGCGGCTTTATAAAAAAAAAATCAAATATTTGAATAATTTAGCAATTAATAAATAGCATTTTTTAATAGTAAATATTATGAATCTATTGCCCTGTTCGAAATGCAAATTCATCTGAGAAGAACGGGCAAGAAAATTAGCCGTTGCTAAAATAAAAATTTATAACAAAAAATAAATGTGAATTGATAAAATGACTATCACTAACTAAAAAACTATAAACAAAAATCTACAGTCACAGTATTTTTGATAAGACCAGTCTCCACGTGAAGTATTCGTTTACGAGTATCACGAGTGAGCTAGCCATCGTCGTGTTCAACCATATTATAGGGAGCCCAACATGATGTCAGTCATATCAGTTAAAAAAAATCCACGCAAACTTCTCTCCTAATATTTACACCCTTAGGGGCCAAACTTCTAAAAATCCTTAATACTTGTGTAAGTCATAAAATAAACTCGCTGTCAATATTTGGTAATTTTATTTTTAGTAGTTTCGACTGTGCTTTGATAAGTCAGGATTATGATATAGATTCTTAAAATTCTTGTGTATGCATTTATAAACACTTAAAATTCTTATCTTAAATGTTGCGAACAGTTATTCTACCAATCTGTTGTTTAAACCCAAATCTGACTTATCTTGTCTTATCACGATTTAGGAATACATCCTGTATCTACGACGCAGTGCCGAAATCTTTTACAGCACTTTGTTTTGTCTTCTCTCTATTAGAGTAAAGCAAATGTACTATAAGGTTTACTGTTTTTAAAAATTGTTAAAATTTATTTATTGGACGAGCAAATAGTAGATAAATATTATCTTGATATTAATATTAGTATATAAGTGATGTTTGTAACTGTACGATCAATACCGTTGTCCACGGAGCAAAAAGAAGGAAGTTGTTAGGATTAAACACAGCATTCCCTTGAGTTACATTATTAACGTGAAATTATAACATGTAGTCACAATATAATAATTATTTATGTATTAATTTTATTTATATATGTATGTGTATACAATTACTTATTATTGCAATATCCATAGGTATGTAAAAATATGTTTAATTTTAACTAGGAATTATTAAGTTTTATCTTTAGCTGTATAATTTTTATCCCTGAACATTCTGTAGTTTTCTTTTTGCTTCTTAAAGTTTGACTGTAAGAGATCCCTCTATGGGATAAGTCCGTCACTGTATATTAAATTTTTTTTAGCATGTCCAATGTAAAGTATCTATAATAAAGATTTTATAATACAATAAATACAGTAAATTTTTAAGTGAACTGCTGTGAACAAAATGCTGCCTTATTATTAAAGCACAGTCTCTTCCAGACAACTTTTAGTTAGAGGGTAGATATGTAAAGATGTAACGGCTGACATAATACTCCTATTTATATATGTTTGTTGACTTTTTAGTAATAAGGCTGTTTATATACAGTACTGTTTGTTTTGTAGAGGTCGTCCCGTTTATTTGTCGTTGAGCATTAATTAACAATCATAAAAGCATTAAATATTTGTCGCCAAACGGCCATTAAACATATTGTAATGCAATGTTTGAACACCTCGAGTGTTTGTTTAGCAAGACCGTCCATTCAAATTGTTTGACCGTTTGTCTAGAGGTAGGTACGTTAGAATTTACACGTTTTTGGAAACCGTTCTAAGTGTTAGCTGAGTGGGTCAAATGTGTAGACAGAGTGAGTTGTCTACTTTAAAATTAAATATTATAAATTGGTCTATAGAACTGTCTACTTTCTTTAATAATATTAGCTTTTTACGCTACTTCGTACACGTGGATTTCACAAGTAGGAAAACCAACGTTATAATCCACTTCTAGATAGAGTATTAAGATAAAACAAACGAGTACACTAGACTTTAAAAACTCCAGGAACATAATTGTAAAAACCACTTTCGATTCTGTGTAGTATTTGTTGCGTGATGCGGGAAAAACATACAGAGAGACAGACAAAATTTCTAAAAAATATTGTTATGGCATCTATTGGACTTGTTAAGACTCCTCACATTAATTTTTCTTAAATATCTCCTTTGTACAGACATCGTCCAGTTATAATTTTATTATATTAGTTTTTTTTATACTACTTAGAATGGCAAATAAGCTGACAGCCCATAGATCTGATAGAAAGTGGTAACCGTCGCCTATAGACATGAGCAGTACCATGGACATAACAGAGTGTACTGTTTCGCCCATGATACCCCACATACGTTGCCATTCCTGAGGACTTAGGTGTTATTCCTTTGTACCCAGTAAATTTACGCCATATCCCACGCTTCAAACCGAAACTCAGCCATGCAAACACAACTGCTTCACGGTTGAAACACGAATGCGACAGAGGTACCCAAGCAATTGACTTTTGTACAAAGTCTCCCTCTGGTAACATTTATTATATAGGTAATTTAAGATTTCTAATAATATAATTAATATATATTTAATTTATTTCAGATGTACTATCATCGAACTCGGATATCTTTGAAGATAAAAACAGCAAATCATTTTCGCAACTTCTCTTCGATGTGGCAAGGGACCAGGTGATCGTGGGCGCAAGGTGAGTGCCTCCACTATTAATATCACGGTTCAGGTTGCTTGTTTCGTACAACTATTAATATTAATATCAAATACCAAAGTGGATTTGCGTGGATTTATGCTATTTTATGACCCATTATAGTGCGAGGAGACACCAAATCTATAAATCGTTGTGTTCGCACAAAGTTATTCATATTTTATAATAAAATAATATTTCCATAGTTTACTGGAAAGATTGATGTTTGCCGTGTCCGTCTATATGTGTATTTTTATGAAAACAGTAATATTTATTAGTTACCGTTTTGTATTTTATTGACATATTTTTACATTGACATGTAGGGTTAAAAAAAATATATTAAACGTATTTACACATTAGAAATAGCAAAACGACGTTCAAACGTTTGAGGACATTAAGAGAATTAAAACACATTGAACTTTACATTCTTAAATATATATAAAAACTTATTATTACAATGTTTCAAATCCTTATTTCTACTATACTAATATTAGAAATGTGAAAATGAGTTTGTTTCTTTTTGTTATAACGTCTATTTATTTTTTATTACCTTACGACGGTTTAACCAATCACTATGAAATTTGATATACACGTACCGTATTGGAGAAGGATATATCCAAATTTTTACCAGTCAAGAAATATATCTCGGTTATACGGACGAATTTGCGGATAAAAGTTAGTGATCTATAAATTAATTAGGTAGGTACTGAACTTCTGTGGAAGCTAATGTAATTGGCCCTTAAGTGTCTACTGCAACGAATGTTATCCTCAAACTGGCTGTAAGCTTTTCTGTAATTGTAAAATTAAATAAACTATGATAGTAATATTTTATCCACATGGCTTCCTGGCTAGACATATCCAGTATAATAATATTACCGTTCTTTCGTCAACTACACATCTGGCAGTTTTATAATATTTATTTATGTACCACGGGGGAAACACGCGTCCCGTAAATCATAACCTCATAAAAAACGTTAATGTAATCATAATAATATTTAATAGCGGTAACAGTGCACCTATCTTGTGTAGTTATAGATTACTTAATAGTTAGTTTGTGTATAGTCGACAGCAAAAAAGATAATTTTAAATTGGATGGCTATAGTTCTTGGGTAGAGCTTATTGGATGGAAACTGCACTAGTCGTTCTTATGGGTGTCGCTGTCATAATTGCATTAAAATCGGTTTAGTATAAACTAAAAGTAGTTTAAAAATAAATAATTGTTTTTAAATTAAAATAACTGGTTTTGTTACGATTTAAGACGGTTTTTTTGTGGGACATAATCTTTAATTTTTTTTCTGTATATTTTTATTAATTTATGTTTGGGATACAAACAGTTACGCATTCATAGTCAAATAAAATAATATAGTTACTAAGAGACTCCTTGCGGTACGTTAATAGAATATAAAGTAGCTATAAATTGGTTTCAGTAATTATAAGCTATTTAGAATAACAAAATATTGATAATTTATTTATTTTATATTTATATAATATATCCGTATACTAATATTAAACTCATACAGTAAATAGTTTTGCTTCCTTGGCTTTGAAAGTTGTTAAGCTATATGAAAATATTTCGTTGTTTCTTTCGCTTTTCTTTTTTAGCTAGGAGTGCCGCCTATCACCATTTTTTTAATAGCAGTTTTTATTTGGATTATTAGCTAGAGTATTCTATACTTTTCATTGTTCTTGACGTGACCGAAGTACAACATTTTTGTGTAGCTTAACGGTGTTTAACTTTAGCAATACTAGTGCTAAATATTACTAAATAATTACATTAGTTGCTGACTGTACCAGTGTGGTTGAGTCACAAGCTGTCACCGGAGTACAGTGATATTAGATAGCGTGGGGTTTATCACAACTAAACAGGTTACACGGAATGTCTGTAATGACTACAATTCTGTCTCACTTGATACGATTAATTGTACTCAAATTATTATAACTTTAGATTTTTACAAAATATGAGATGAACTTAAGACTGAACCTGTTCGATTAGAAACAGTCGTCAAAATTGCTTGGAAAATATCACAAAAGTTTGAATTTTTTTACAAAGCATAGTTATCACTTTTTTATTATCTGCTATAAAATAGTGTCAATAAGTTATTTTTTTTAATTATTACTGGATAGACATACGACAATGTCAACGAAGTAACATCACTATGAATTAAAACGAATAATTACTGGATAATAATTGTTTATATCTTTTTGAATAAAATAACCAAAATGTATTTATCATACTTATAGCTAAAATAATATTTATCTTTTATGCAACAAAGAATGGCAAACAAGCTGACGGCTCATCTGGTGGAAAGTGGTAACCGTCACCTATAGACATAAACAGTACCATGGACATAATAGATGATATTGTTTCGCCCATGATATTCCCTATGCGTTGCCATTCTTGAAAACTAAGGTGTTATGCCTTTGTACTTTGTAATTTCTTTGCCATATCCCATCCTTCAAACAAAAACACAGCCATAAAAACACAATTACTTCACGCCAGAAACGTGATAGAGACTTAATGCAAAAATAATTAAATGGTACCTAAGCAAACGACTATTGTACAAATTCTGTTTATTTGTCGTTGTTACAGTATTTTGTGACGTTTTCTACACTGTCCATGCTTGTAGGCGTCAGTACTATTTTCCAATTGTCAGTCGCGTGTTTGTTGGCTATTTCAGACAGTATTTGTACTACTATATGGTGGCAGTTAAAATAATAATAAATATCACATTTATAATATCAGCAAGAACTGATAATCTTTAGATTAGTTAAGATAACGGCATGCTATAAAGAAAATCGTTTATCGTAAATGTAAGTATCCATAAAATATCCGGATATCATTATTTTATATGCACGTACACACACAAATTTTATACAACTTATGTCAGTCTTTTTTCACCGACTTCAAACAAAGGAGGTGGTTCTCAATTTGGTTGTATTTTTTTACGTTTGTTATCTCAGACTTCCGTCTTTTATAAATCGATACGTTTTTTTTATTTGTAAAAATATACTTTCACATTAGTCTCAAAGGAGATTTGGTCTTTAAATTTGAATAATTGGTTTTGCTATGTTTGATTATTCTTTTTTTTATAAAACAATATTCTTGTTTATGAAAAAAAGTAACAACTGAGTTTCTTTCCCGTTAATAACATAACCCAGAATATCCTAGCCATATATCGTTATTCTTTCAAGCGAGTAAATTTACAAGATCATAGCAAGAATATAAGGATATTTAAATTATTATTGAACATTTTAACTATGATTGAATTAAAGTGACATGTATAATTATTTCGGCAAAGTTGGATTGAAAATTATTAAATTGTGCAAGTTGTATATTTGCTTCAATTCATTTATTATATTTATAAGGTTGTAATACTGGATTCCAAAACTGATGTTTGTTATTTATTTTTTATGAGATGGTAGTGGAATGGTAATCCCACCTGTATTATTGGTACACACCAATGATTGATGATAGGTGAGGATGAAGTCTTTTTTTTAATGGATGAAAACGGAGTGGTAACTCCGCCTGAGCTCTCTATCTACACTAGCGGGGCACCAGTGAGAGATAATATGTGAGGATGAAAGCAGGTCAGATATTCCATCATGATGAATTTATCAGGAATAAATTATTGTAGTTTTCAAGGGAGACCGAGAAGAGGTTGATCTGATATTTAGATTAGGTCGTGTGATGGATAATGAAGACAATAAAATAGCTACTTGCTTGGAGGTCTGACCCGAAGGTTACTAGTACAAAAATAATTTGTATATTTCACACATTTGGCAAAGATAACCCCAAAAGATCAATCAAAAGGGGGTTTGCTTGGTTCATTTTATTTAATTGCCTATTTACATATAACTAACCTAATTTAATTATGCCGAAGTGTGGCTTTCGACATAATTATTTTATTATGTAGTAATAATAAATTGGAAGATGGGGAGATCTTTGGATCATTGCTCTGCGCTGGGGAATTATAGGTTAATAATAAAATAATATTATAGAATAAATAAATAATAGATAAATTCGCTTGGTTCCTGCAATAATTTATTAATAATGTAAGATTTAGTTTCATAAAAAAATCCAACTACTTTAATCTCAAAAGAATGTCGTTGTTATGTTATATGTGACATACACAAAAAGTACATTTGAATATAGAAATTCTTCTTTTTTGAAGTTTTAAAAAATAACAGTATGAGGGTTTCTTAATTTAAATATTTTTTATGTTTATTTTTTCTCAGAACTTCGTTTTTTATAAACCGATTTGGTTTTCTTTTTATTTGACAGATGTACTTTCAGGCTGATCCCATAGAAAATTTATCAAAATTGATTCATTATTTCAGATAATTTGGTTGTTATTATTAGTTTTTTTACAACACTGAGTGCAAACGAGCATGTGGCTCACCTGATGGTAAGTGACTACCGCCGCCAATAATCACCCACAATACCAGAGGCATTGTAGGCATGTTGCAATGTTTGAAAAAGTTTTAAAATAATAATAGTGAAATCAATATTAATTCAATTTTACTATGATTGAAGTTGGTGTATTTTTTTGTGGAGATGCTACTTGTGATGCTAATTAGTCTTTTCCAATAAATCCATAAATAAATATGTATTATAACATGTGACTTGCTGCTGGTATTTAATTAAATTTATTGCGAATGGTGTAGTTTGACCCAATAAGGTAAATGTACGATTCGCAACGCGGCTGCTTTGATATGTAACAATTAATTATCGCATATGCCCAGTTGCTAGTGATGATTGATTGTAGTTTACCAGGATAGCATATTTCAAGTGAAATTATAAATCTATTTCTCAGTTTTTAGCAATTAGCAATTATTCCTTTTAGAAAATACAAGTATACATTTTGTATATGTTTACCAATACAAAAGTAAATCCATGAGGATTGTAGAATGAATTATCATCGTTATATCAGCCGTTAAGTGCTGGACATAGATCTCTCGACCTCCTATTGATGTTTCATAGATAGATTCAATTGAAAATATTTTAA